AAAAAAAAAAAAAAAAAAAAAAAGAAATTTCAAATATTTGCAAACTGATCAGCACTCATTAAAACCATTTTTGGCCAAAAAAAGTACAATAAAACACATAAAAGGATGCTGCATCAAATTTCCATTAATTGTAGCATAAGACTTACAAGAAAATGATGGTATCTCTACATTTCATTTTAAACCATGATAATGAACAAGAAAGAAGAACCATTTTTCAGATAAATAAAAGTGATGACAAATGGAGAAGTCTGTACCTTTATTCTCCTCTTCAAACTCTTCAGATAAGAGGTGGTAGCAACAACCCACACTGCACACTCCCTTGATTTCAGACTTAGAAGTAAATATTCTCAGAGTATTTGGAGCAAGATCACCACAAGTATGTAGACCCACCATTAAACAATCCTTTAAAGACAAGATCAAATATAAATTTTGGCCATTAAAAGGAAGGCTGAAAAAGAGTTCAGGCAAAGATTTAAAATATTCGTTCAAATTCATTTTCATATTCATATTCATTTGAAAGTTTTATAATTATCAAATTCTACCTAGAAAATTTATTTTCAGGATAAATATTATTTCATTTTATTTTCATAATAATTGTTTCCTTTTTAAGTAAAATGGTTGTGATCTCATTATAACTTTTGCGTTTTTTTCAGTGCTTTTGGTTATGTATTATTTGTATTTTCTCTGATCTTTTGCAACTGACATTTGCTTAACAGCTAGACAAAGTAATTCAAAGACTGAATTAGGCAAATGTGGCATGCATTACTAAGAAACCTGTAATATGAAATGCATTTATATCAGACTTGTACCAGTCATTTTTTTTTTTTTTTCTGGTACTGGCAATTGAACTCAGGACCTCCTGCTTGCAAGGCAGGCACAGTGCCACTGAGCTAAATCCCTGTTCCCATACCAGTCAATTTTTATTGATTAAACTTTTTCAGAGCCTGAAATTTAAAAAACCTTAAAAACGAGCTGGGGATTTAGCTCAGTGGTTTTGTCACCTGCCTCAAAAGCACAAGGTCCTGAGCTCGATCCCTGGTAACAAAACATAAAAAAAACAAAGAACCTTAAAAGCACTGCTCTTAAAAACAAATACAAGTTGTGCAAAGTGAGCATTTCTACTATAATATCAAAAAGTTTACTTATTCACTATATCAAATATGGCAATATGAAATTCAACATTTGTGTTCTAAATTTTATAACATGAACTTAAAAATTTTCCTATGAAATATTTCCTTTACTCATTCCAAACCTAATTTAAATGTATACCAACAAATACATAATGTACTAATATTTAAAAAGTTCAATTTAATATAATACCCGCCTTTGACATAACTCAAACATTTAATGAAGGAGCAAAAATAATTTTAATTCAGGAAATATATTTTGTATTAGAACATACTATTACCATTTTGAAGAAAGAGTTCTGGAGAACTTTTTTAACCTCTCAATTTTCAAAAAACATGTTGAGCCCAGATAATTCAAAGGTTATAATATTAGTGAAGATCTGCAACCTATATATACAAATGTTAATATTTAATTCAATTTTTTAAAAATTAAGTTAAAAATTTTAAAAATAAAATATTTTTAAAAAACCAGGCCAGGTGTGGTGGCACATGCCTGTAATCTCAGCACGCAGGAGGCTGAGGCAGGACAATTACTGTGAGTTTGAGGCCAGCTTGGGCTACAAAGTGAACTCAAGGCCAGCCTGAACCCCATAGTGAAACCCTGTCTCAAAAAGACAAAAACAAAAAAAATCACGTCTCTCTTATGTTATCTAAAGAAATACTCATCTAGCAGTTTAATCCCTTTATACTAACAATTAATTTTAAATGTATAAAATATTGATACATGTGTTAAATAGCTGTCATCAACTAATTATAACTAAACCTAAATACATAAATTATATTATAATCACTAATAGCAGTCTTGGAAATTAGTTAGGGTTTAAATTCCAGTTCAGTTACAAATGCAATTTGGCAAATCTGTTTTAACTATCCAGTGCCTTAGTTTTCTTTTCTGCAGAGTGGCAATGATGACATCTCATTTTAGTGCACTGTGGCAAGACTAGTAAATTAATTTCCATAAATGACTTATCATCTGTCATACAACAAAATTTGGTAGATGTTTCCTGTTTTTTCCATCACTATTATTTACAAGTTCAAAGTAACAGAAGTTTAATTTGTGACTCAAGTGTATTTTTATAACTATTCAGAAATACATATATTCCATTTAAATATTATTTTAAAATATTTTACTAAAAGTCTTATTTTGACTTATGTTATCCGAACATAAAATAGGACTAAAATCTAAAGTTTCTAAGTAAAACAGTTGTGTCCACAGGTTGCTTTGACCTAATGGAATGCTCAGTTAATAGAATACTCAGTTACATCAGCCACTCTTCTCTTAAAGCACAGTTCTTGGGGTTCTTTGGAACCACTTTGTGTTTCCTGATGATAACAGCTAGGTTTTAGGTGCTACAATTTTATAATTTTTTTAAAATTAAGACATGAAAAGTTTATTGTCAATTAAGAGGCTAAGAGGTAAAAAAAATTCTCTCTGTAAGCTTGAGTTCTCCCTAAAGATAATGCACAAAGATTTAATCTTTTTTTTTTATTTTTAATTTTTTGGCATGAAGCATTGAAAACAGGACCTCATGCTTGTCTGGCAGGCGCTATGCCGCTGAGCTAAATCTCTGGCCCTATTCTCATCTTTAAATGTACTCATCAAAGTTCATAATATTAGCAAACAGCAGGTAGGAGTCAAAGATGTATAAACATTATATTAAGAGTAAAAATTTATTATTTGGAGGAGGGAGAGGGACACTGGGAAATAATAGTGAATTTTGGTTATTAAACTGCTGACTCACCACTGTAGGACTAAAAAAACATTATTCAACCTTGTCTTAAATTAGATCATTCTTGTGTTTACTTATAGTTCTGATCATATACTTCAATAAGATTTTTAAAAACTTAAAAAGTAATAACATGCACTAAAATTTTATATTTTCAAAAATTAGGCTAAATTCAAATAATTTGTTTAAGCCTTAGAGAAAGAATAACCTAATTACTATTTTTATATATAAGAACAACAATTCATGAAAATTAACTAATTTCCTTTAGTGATTTCCAAAATTATTGGAGGCAAGAAAAATTACCCACTTATAAAATGTCAAAATACTGGCCAGTTACTAAACAAGGATTTAAATTTATAAAGAACTCTTGTATCTTGCTTACTCATTTCTCGGGGTAAGAGTTTCTTAAAAATTTAACATGGTAGAATGTACAACTCCAAAAACTGCTTTGTTTTGAAAAGGAGGTAAGACAAATGATGTCTAGAAACTTCTCTATAACCTTTTAACAAATGACTTTGCCTTTAAGATGTTTTCTTTCATTTACATAATTTGACAAACTTGAAATTCAGAAACTTCCAAACTTAAAGAAAACCTAGAAATTACTCATGCTAAAGGAAATTACATATTTCCATTCCAAATGCATATTTGATCACAATATGTAACAAACACAATTTTGTACTAAGTACCTCTTTGCTGTAAATATATGTTATCACACAAAAAAATGATAAATATTGGAGGTGATATGTATGCCAACCGCCTCCACTGGCTCCTCATAAAATGTATACATGTGCAAAAACATCATGATGTCCCCTATAAAGATGTATAATTATGTGTCAGTTAAAAACATAGCATACTTAAGATTTTTCTTGAATTGCAATTTTAATAATCTGTATACTGGGGTAGACAATTTAGCTTACCAACGAACTTTTTGCCAATTCTTCTACATGATTTAAGAGAACTGAAGGATGTAGTTAGTACTCTATGGAAATACATTTTTGTTAAATTTTTGACAGATGTAGGTGTAATGAAATTATGCTTCCTATTTTAATTACTTGGTCTTTTAGATTACTGCTAGTATTAGTATGTTAAGTCATCTATCAAACTGAATTATATGTTTATAGCATTTTGTATAAAATTCAAGGAATCAAGGTGAAATCACCTCCAGATCTTTAATAATGTCACGTAGGTCTGAATCAGCAGTGATAAAAGAAGTTAATGGTGAATATACATTTGATTCACTTGACTGTGATGGCATTTTTCTTCTCCCTTTATTTGCTTCAGACATTTCTCTGTTGGATATATGTGATGATGAAATAGGCTTTATGGCATCGATAGGCAAAAAGTCTATGAGCGAAAAGGCATTTAAAAAACACAAATTTTCTTCTTCATATGACTGAGTATGTAGGTTTTCCATTTGTATTCTAATATCAGAAATTACAGAGCCTGAAAAATCTGGCAAAAAATCTGAGGTAGACATCTTTTCTTGCTTTGCAGGACTGTTATATACTTGCTCAGTATCTGCTTTATATTTCGTTTCATTTTGCATTTTTCTTTCTTTTGTCATTTTTAATGCCAGTCCATTGACATCTACTTTTGACTTAGTATGGTAGAGTTTCCAATGTTTCTTTAGTTTCCGGTTCCTCTCCTGAGCCCCATGAGTATTGGTATTTGAGGAATCAATTCCATAAACAGTTAAGCCATACTTCAAGGACAAAAAGGAACTTAGGTAGCCTTTACCAGAACCCAAGTCAATTACCTGAAGTAAGAAAAACAGAATGACAGGATTTTAGTCAAGTGGTAATAGAAAGCATATATACATACACATATATATTTTAAAGCAAGTGAACAAATAAATACAATTTACATAACCTGCAATACTTGTTATTTTTCTATTAAAAAACAACCACTCCGGATATTTTTACTCAACATCTCCTGGCAATTCAGTGTACTAAATCAAGAACAAGAATAAAATACCTAAAAACTGGAAAGGAAGAAGTAAAACTATCTTTTTCATACAACTGTGTGCAAAGAAAATCATGGTGATTATATTTAAAAAGTTACCAGAAATAGTAAATAGATTTATCAATTTCTTGGAGTAAAAAGTCAACAGAAATTAAAAATGAGCCATGAGAACATATACAATATAGTATCAATAAACAATCTGAAAGAAAATTTTACAACAATTGAACTGAAATGGTTAATTTCTTAAGAAAATTAAGTTTAAATGCATAAAAACAAAGGCTACTGTGAAATAAAGTTATACCATAACAGAAAAAATGATCCATCTTATTCAGGATAAAACTGTAAGTCATCTCAAAGGCATCTAAGAATCTAGAACTTCATAATTTGTATTATCTTACCTCAACCTCAGTTCCTGTTATCTTCATCCTGCTCGTTCTACTGGAATCAATCTGGCTTCCTTGCTGTTTAAAGAACTATTCCCACTCCAGTGCCACTGAATATGTACCACCCACTGGAAAAGTTCTGCATTAACTCCTCTTTCCCCCTTTCATTTCATTCCTCTTTAAAATATACAACAAAATACAATATTTTTATTGTCTATCTCTCCTGATTAGAATATAAATGCCATGAAGGCAGAAGTATTTTTATTTATTCACCTTTGCAGGCTTAGTAACTAACAGTACCTCTGATATGTGGTAAAGCTAAGAAAATATTGTGTAAATGAATGAATCAATCAGGCAGGTAAGTATAAGTGGATGAATGTATTTTAGAAGTAAAAATTAAAAAGCTCTGGAAATGTATGTGAGAAGTCAGTATGGTCAGTAGAAAGTAGTATGGCTAAAGCAGAAATTAACTTTTTTTCCTTCTTTTTAAATTTACTTTTCTATGGTCAGTGGTTTTTTTTGTTGTTGTTGTTTTGTTTTTTTTCTTTTTTTTGAGACAGGGTCTCACTATGTAGTTGAGACTGACCCAGAACTCACTAGGTAGCCCAGGCTGGTCTCGAACTCACAGCGACCCTCCTGCCTCAGTCTCCCAAGTGCTGGAATTACAGGTGTGTACCACCATGCCCGGCTCTATGGTCAGTGCTAAGATTAAGTGTTTCATAATTTGAGTCTCCATCTCTGAAATCTATACTTATTAAATCTCAATTTAAAATATATAATTACTAAACATATAACTAAATAGAAAAAAATCAAATGATATTGCTAATTAAGTGATCTTACCAAAAAATGTTTCATTTGTCAAGGACACTCTAAAATGTACTGATTTGGGCCTTATCAGAAATCATAAATTTTTGGTTGTCTTATTTACCATTGCTATGAAAATCATTCTCTTAAAGCAGGCTTAACATGAAGCATTAAGCCATTTCAAAAATATTTTCTGTGCACTTTAAAAATAAAAATAAATTTATCATATTAAAATTATCCAGTATTACATAGTATTTCATACAAATAAAGAACAAAGGTAGTATACATGTACAGTGTGAAGCACAAAATAATATGCTTCATTTTATTTTGGGTTATGCCACATGCAAATGTTTCAACAAGACTTAACTGTAAATGATATAACAGATGGTGAGAGAAACATGGGAAGGAAGGTAAAACAGAAAAAAAGAAAAAACAGCCCTATGAAAGGTGCATTATTTAGCAAGATACCACTATGGGGCAACTTGGGTTTAATCCCATTGGGAAAATTCTGAGACCCAGGATAAAACACATACTTAAGAATCATCCCACCTGAAATACTGCGTCCACTATTCAATAAAAGAAAACATGCAAGGATGAAATGCAGGCATTGTTGGGTAGAAACCAGGCCAGCACATCAAGAAATAGGAAGACCTGAGAGCATATGGATCAGGAACCCTACAGCATCTGCCAACTTCCATTCCAAAACCCAGAGTATTATTATTTCCACTACATATAACTATATTTTCTTTCTATATCCTATCTCCCTGCTTCCTTTACCAAAGTGACAACTATTCTCAAATTATTACTGGACTTCGATTCTAGTCTTTCTGCATATATTTTTGTATTGAAAACATACTATTATTTTGCTTAATAGCATTTAAAAAATAGTAGTATAAAACATATAGTTTTCTGTAACTTGCTTATTTTCCTATTCAGCTTTATTTCTAATATTCATTCATGTGACACATACAGTAACAGCTTATCTTTTACTGGCATATGATGTTCCTGTATGTAAGCACATCACAGATTATTCAATCCTCTATGGATAAACATTTAGTTTGTTATTAGTTTTTAGCTATTAGGAACATTCTTGTACATGTTTTCCAATGTGTGTGAGCAAAGTTTCTCTGGGTGAGGGTATATTTCTAAAGTTAAATTGATGAGTTATAGGATATGCAATTGGTCAGACTTATTGTGGTAAACTGTTTATTGAAGTGGTTACCTCATGTCTAGTCAGCAGTGTTTAAGAATGCCCTTGCAAGCAAACCTGATAAGATTTGGGGAGATAATGGAAACACCATATATCCTGATTGTAGAGTTTACATGAGCATACCTACATGTTTAAAAAATCAAACTGCACAATTAACATGGGTGCATTTATATCTCAATAAAGTTGGGTATGAAAAAATTTTGCACATTGGCTAGAATGTGATTAACACAATAGTATCTGAAGAGGGAATAAATCTTACACAGTGATATTGTTACATATGTAATGGAAAGAAAAGTCTATAAAATTAAGCCCACAGGAACTCTAACTGAACTTCTTTTCACAGAGAATACATTATGCTTTTTGCCACTTCTATATATAAACCCTGCTTTGCTTTGTAGCTCCAAATTAAATGGTTAAAGTTTTGCCTTGTTTTCGACAAAGAATGTGAGTCCAGTTCATTGGGATTCTGTTTTTCTGCTTTATTCAGATTACATTTGCCCCAAAGGGTGGAGATTTATTCCATTCTCCTGCTCTGCACCTAAATACCTACCCTATATGAACAGTCTTCGCCTGACTTACCGAAATGCCATTTACCTGAATTTTCTCTCTTCGGGGCTTTGTTTTCTCTAGTGGACCTGCTGTTATTAACTGATGCTGTAAATGTCTAACCTTGCTATGCTCCTTTTGATGCTAACTGAACTACCCATTTCCTCTTCAGCAGTCCATTCTTATCGTTACCACCCTTAGTGGATACCAGTAGACACTGAAGGCATATTTAGAAACAGCACTTGGCCCCTGGATTCAGATGATGTATCAGAGGGGAGAGACCTAGGGAAAGGGTGTACCTTTCCACTGTCAAGGTAAGTCGATTACTGATACTGATAGGTATTGCTTAGGTCTGGCACACTGAAGAAAAGGTGGAGAACACTTCCATTAGATCCTGTCCTTAGCCCCTAACCCAGAGGTCCAGGTTGCTAGCCCAAGCTAAAATAGCTTTCTAATTTTCAAATTCATGAGTCTTGTGTAAATCCATGGGAAAAACTGTAATACTTAATAAAAATTAAAGGAGGAAAAGTCCTCTATTACCTCCACAGAGCTTTCTGGAGGGATAAAACAAATACTATTTTCAGATATCATGAAAGAACTTAAATTCTAAAAATATAACCCCTTTATTTTAATAAGGAAAATGTCCCAGACCACAGCTTGGCAATTCAGATTCTGAGAACACCTAGCAGCAAACAATTTTGGAGAAAGTGACTCATCATAATTCTGCCTCAAGATGGAGTTTCAACTTATCGAAGTGCATTACCCTTAACTTGTATCCATTCAGAAAACTGAAATTTGTGGCAAAACATTAACAGTTATATCCTGTTTTTACTATAAATGCTTTATAATTATAGCATCCCAGGAAATGAGAACATATATTGGAATATCTGGTATTTAAATGATGCTATTATATAGGACATTTTAAAGACTACATAATAATAGCAAAAAAAGAATTAATAATATAAAAAAGGGGCAATATTTTTAACACTTAAAAACATAGGGAAATATACTTACTTGTTTTATTCCATAGTAATCAGCAATACTGAAAATTAGGTCTGACATTGCCTGAACTTCATGAGATTTTTTCATATTCATAAACTCATTTGGCTTCAGATTTTCACCTGAATGGAAAAAAAGCAAAAACAAAAACAAAATTACTCCTATTAAAGTCTAACTTTATTAAAGTTATATAGCAATTTATCAGTTAATGATCATTTTAAAAAATCAGTTAAGGTTCATGTCTTTTAAATTAAGTCTGAAAATAATATAGACTATTGTGTCTCAGTGAAAGATCTGTTAGTTCAGATGCTCTGAATCAAATTTAAATTAATAAGATCCAAAGATTTACTAAAAATGTTCTTCGACATAACAAACAAATAATTATAAATAAAAAGACTGTTAAGTTGCGCTACAAGAGAAACTTTCTCATCAAAAGACAATTTTAACAGAGTAAGAGGCAACCCACAACGTGGAAAAAGGTATTTCCAATACATATGGCTACAAAAATAAAACAAACACTTATAAATCAGTAAGAAAGAGATAACAAACAGGAAAACAGGCAAAACTCTGAACATTTCACAACCTGTACTGTCCAATACAGTAGCTACCAAACGTGATTATTTCAATTTACAGTAAAAATAACTCAAACAAAATTTCAAAGGAAGTTTCTGAGCTGCCCCAGTCACACCTGCAGTGCTCAATAGTCACACATGACTAGTTTCTGCTGTACTGAGAGGCACATGTACAAAATTTCTATCACTGAAAAATATTCTACAGAACAGCACTTTAGAGTGCATGGTACATATGTCACATTGTAAAGCATATTAAAATGGCCAGAGCACGTGACAAGGTAGTCAAGACTATCAGACGTACAAGAGTTGGGCAATTTGGCAAAATCATACACACGGCTGGTATGGTCATCACAGCATGACTGAGTTCACATATGAAATGCCCTGCTGTTGTTTTAACCTAGGATGCTGCACTGCACAGCAATGAGAACCTTGTCAACAAGTTTCTTCCGGGGATAAGTGGTTATTACTTAGGGTTTTGTAGACAGCAACAAGCACCTTCTTAGTAACATACCAAGGGTATTTTAGGACATGTTCTTTGTTCGAGAAGTTGAGATTTCACAAGAGAAACAATCTCATTCTACTGTCAAACAAATAAGCAAACAAATAAGATGATGTATTCCAGGATGAGGAATATACTCCTTCCACCCTCACCTATGACTAGCATGCACAGCTACTTACCTAAATCAACTCTATTTTACACTGGGCATACAAGAGAATCCGTCCAACCCTCACCTGGTAATATCACTGTTTATTTCAGCCAAGGATACACTCTTATTTACCTTGATGTTCAAACTGTAATCCATACACTTTATAAATCTTTAGGAAAGGGCCAGGAGTACTAACTATCCTTGATGTAGACAGAGGTCTACTCAGTCAATGCTAGTTAACAACGGGTGGGATAAATTCTTACTGCTTTAGGTGACAAAGGACTATAGCCTCTACAGCAGGGCTGCTGGCAAAGTTATTTGGAGCCAAGAACTATGATTTATCAAACAGCTCCTTGCCTTGCTCCAGGAGAAATACTGTGAAATAATTTTGCTTTAAAAATTTAGAGACAAAAGAAAAATAAAAACAAAATTAAAGAACTAGACTCAAAGGGGGAAAGTCCTTTTCACAGTGGGAATTCCAGTGGATCCAATTTTACTAAGTGATTGCTATCACTAACAATAGGACAAAATGATATGTGCCTTCTAGTGTGATACAGAAAAAAGAATTACTTAAATCAAAATGCATAACTTAAATGTTAATCAGGGGAAAGAAACAAATCTGACCTATATGCATTAATGTATTAGTGTCAGGAAAGAAAATGAAGGGCTGAGGCACTACTCCATATTGAAGAGATTAAACATTACGACTAAATGTCATGCATAAGCTTGGACAGACTCCTATACTATGGAAAAATGGCTATAAAATACTTTTTGCAACTTAAGAGACATGAATATAGGTTACTTATTAGATAATATTATTTTAGCAGTATTAAATTCCAGAACGGGCAAATGGGCTGGGGAATATGTAGGAAAATGTCCTTGTCCTTGGGAGATAAATGCTAAAATACATGAGGGCAAAGTGTTAAAGGATTCAGATAAAGCATGTGTGACTGTATATGTAAAAAAGCTACAACAAATGTGACAAAATTTTAACAAATGGTGAATGGAAGAAAAATATATGGAGTTCATTGTACTACCCTGACAATATTCTGTAGGTTTTTTTTTTTAGTACCGAGGATTGAACTTGGGACCTTGCACTTGCAAGGCAGGTGGTGAAACCACTGAGCTTAATCCCCAGCCCACTGTAGTTTTTAACCTTTTCAAAATAAAAAGGTGAGGAAATGAGGAGCGAATGAGATAACCTAGTAAAGAGCTCCATGGACAATAAAGATCTTAGGGTCATTATTTTATTATAAACATAACAATTATCATTAGAATATTACTATTAAAGCAGTTTTTACCTCACTATGGAGGACTAAATTTTGTTTTTAAAACCAGTCTTCTGATCTCAATCTTTTTTGTTTTTTTTTTGTTTTGTTTTGATACTGGGGATCCAACTCAGGACCTTGCGCTTGCAAGGCAGGCAGCGGCACCACTGAGCTAAATCTGCAGCCCTGATCTCAATCTTTTAATGGGGTGCATAGTCTCTTTACAATTTATGTAATTATTCATATAGAAGAATTTTAATCTATTTCACTTTTTGTGTTCTAATCTGTGCCTTCCATACTTTTTGACACTCATGTTTCTTCCCTATATTCCCCCCAAAACCATATTCTCTTTTCTCAGCCTTTTCCCAAAGAATTAGCCACAGAAAACATCAGCCTATCAGAACAAAATAAATGCAAGGATTTGGGGATTTGAATTAGCCATCTGTAGTCTTGTTTGAGGGGAAGCAACTACCTGAGGTAAAGACAGGCGGAGGTCAAAGTGGGAAAAAATGCAGAAATCTATAAATTGTTTTGTTCAATATAAGAGAAAACCTACTCTTCTAAGTACAAGCTAATTTATCAAGGTCTATAAGGTCTTATACATATATAAATAGTATACCGCTTCAAAGTATGTAAAAGGCATATAAACTTAGAGACACAAATAAACATACCAGTTCTCTGTTTTTTATTTCCTTGAAGAGCTTTAAGCAACTGTTCTAAAGGAGTACAGATTCCCAAGTGTTGGACAGAATAGTGTTTTGCAGCCAGAGCAAAGGCTTCGACATTCACTAGCCTCTGAGAAGTTTCACAAAATATTTTGGAAAAATCAGTAATACCTACAAAGTCAGGATAGAAAAAGAAAATTAGCAATAATGAAATAGTTGACAGTCAATCTGTATGAAAATTTAATAAACAACTTTTATGGCAAATTATATATTTTCATTTTTGTGTGAATTGTGGCAATATCTCAAAATAATTCTGTTTATATGTTACTTAAACTATTATCTATTTGTAGCACCCAGTTTTATCTATGATATATTTAAGTGTCAAACTAAAATTTGGCCTTTTTTGTTCAAAAAGCTTTCCCCTGAAATTTAAAAATCTGAACAGTAATATAGTTAATAAACTTTTAAACTGTCCTTTCTGACTTACAACTGTTCATTTTAAAGAAGTCAGTCCTTGCAATATTGTTACCTTTTATTCTCACTGCCTATGAAGCAACAATAACAATCTCAGTGGTACAAATGTTACTGAAAGACAGTTCCTCATCTGGACCACTGATACCTGTGTGTAGGGTGTACACGTGTTCCCAGCACTGTCAGTGTAACAGCTCTAAAGCTAATCAGTTTACAATTGAGTGAAGCAGAACATTTTCCTGTGGTCAATTTTAAACCAGACATTCTATATAAATTTAGTATAATAACTGTTGATAGTTTCTAAACTGCTCACAAATTTAGAAGAGTACACATGGTAAACTGAACTGTTCACAAACACTCATGCTTTTCTCTGTATGAGAAAGGTATATAAGTAACCTATTAGACTCAGGTGTGGCTACATCTTGGCTAGATTAACTACACCACTTTTAAGCAGAAGTTCAAAGTATTATTAGAAATGTTCCTAGCTTTGTAGCCTATGTGAAGACAGAACCTACCACAATGTAAGTCTGAATGATCAGAACAAAGATAAAAGTATTGTCTGGCTACAATGGAAATGGAATAACAAGAAAACTTCATTGTCAGCAGTCACTGAATATTTCGGCTTATTATTACTACATAACTCTATTGTGATGGAACACATAGTTCACTGATATTTGCTCAATCTAATAATTTATTTATACAGGTTAAGAAAGTCATTCCAATCTGGAGTAGGTCAAAGAGACTCTGGATAGAGAGGTCCAAATAAGCACATGTGCTGAAAATTAATTTGTAAAAACTAAAAATAACAAAAACATCAAGTAGTTAACTAAGCTATATGAAATATTCATCTTTCAAAAAGATGGTGCAGTCTAGGGAACAACTTTGGTTTTACAAAAAATAATTACTGTATGCCATGAAGTCTTCTGTAGGATTGCTAATCTTCACAGTTAGTTATGAAATTATAAAAAATCCACTTATGCAGAAAAAATGATGCTATCTGACAAAATCAGAAAGTAAGATAACTGATGACTGCCTACAGAATTTTAAGTAAAAGTTACATTTTTAAGCTTCACCTTTGTAAGACAAGTACCTCAAATTGTTGGTGGTAATGTGTACCAAAGTCACTGATAAGAAAAAATTCAGATGCATAATTTCAATTTTTTGAATCAACTAAATATAAAGCAGGATTATAAAAATTACTACAGTGAATTTAAGATATATTTTATGTATTATATAAAGTTTGTTGGACAGTTTACAAACTGAATTTATTTACACAGCCAAAAGTAATAAAATCCACATCAAAATATTTAGGCATGATACAGTGGGGAAAACTCAGTCAACTATTAAGTGAGACTCTGGTTTAAGAGCAGTCTCAACATCCCCAGGTTCCCACGTGGCAATTTCTGAGTGTGATAGAATAAGAGTATTAAATCTTAACGTGCAGAGGGACCTTTATAATAGTCACTTATTGGACAATGTTGCCAACAGAAAGAAATGTGATGTTTCTGTTGGAAAGTAAAGGTTCAAATCAACTTAAGTATCCATCTGAAAGTACTTTTAAAAATTCCAATCCAACCTGAATTAAATGATAATTTGCTTTTCATTATAGGCCCACCATTAATTTTAGAAATTTGTACACCTAAATTATAATACTATCTTTTCAACAATTCTTGACTTTTAAAAAAGGAAAATCTAATTCAGCCCAATAGTCTGTCATTAGGGCTAACAACAGTTACTTAATGATCTCCATGATGAATAAAGTATTTTTGAATTATGGAAATACAGCTGTTATATTTTTTGTTTGTTTTTCAAGTGATTCAGCCTGTAAGTGACATGATTTGGTTATATTTTTAAAGATCTGGAGAGAAACAGACGTATTGATGGTCTTGTCTTCTATCTCTGAAACAATAATTGAGGAAGTTTTGGGGCTACAGCAACAGTGTTGAAGTCCTCACAGTATGTCCCTGAGTGCTTGTATACTCAGTTTGAGATTGACAGCTAGTAAAACAGAAACCACAGTGTTACTTAAACTTAGTTAACTCTTAGATTTTTTTTTTCCCCAAAGCACAAGGAAAACTTTGTTTTAAAAATCAGCTGCCCACTGTACCTGAGCATTGTTTTTTATTATTTTGCCCACATCGCCCTCTAGTGGATGTTGCTGCTTTTACAGTCTTACTTTTTTGTGCAACCTATACCACTATTTCACACATTTCTTATAGGTATAAGACAGTTTTATAAGACAAGTTAATTAGACAAGAAGAAAGGAAGTTATTTTCTTTTTACATTAGAGACCAATGTACAAGGAAAAACAGACAAGTCACATATACATGTTATATTATGAAAAATCTCAAGGCAACCAGATGTATAACAAAATTTCAAAGCTAGAAACAAAAACAATGAATGAACATGTGATATTTAGGATTAATAAAAATAAAATTAAAAAATAAATGTTATTCGATTGTCTTTAATGATTTATCTTAGTTGAATGTCACACAACACTTTAAGGAAGATGAGACTCGTCAGGGCTCCAAACTCAATATTACTGCAGACATTCACAGCAAATATACCAGGCACTGCGCTAAACATTTAGCCTTTCATGTGACATTCTTATAAGCTAGTTAATCGCTCCCTGTGGCTCTTCATAACCACTTTCTTTGCTTAACAACTTCCCTTCCCATCAAAAATGATCTTAAAGTTTCCAAAGTTTAAAAATCTTTACATATAAAATAATCTCTGAAAAAGGAATAAAATATTTTATTTTAAAATAAAATAATAGAAGATTTTACTGTGGTATCTATTTGTAGGAAAGAGGCAATACCCTTGTTTTAATCCAGTTGAAAACAAGTACTCTGAGCACAGCATGAATGGATGAATGACCGCATGCATGAATGACAGCGACACTCCAGTACACTTACTATTGCAGCATCACCAACTACACAAGGAGAAACGAGTTCTCCTAAGACTCTGTGGTGGCTGTAATCACCTGAGGCCACGAGGACTTCAATAGCACCACTGAGCCTGTTAGAGAAGCATAAAATCTCATTTCAGCCCAAAGTTTTACAATCTCAGGTTAAGACAAGGTGATTTAGAACATTAGAATGTAATATAAGATAAAATGCAGTTGTGTACTAATTTCTGAGATGTAACTGTGTTACAAGGGTTAGGGGTAGCTGTTAATGTCACATAACCTATCATCCAGAATTTCAAGAAGAAAACAACATTTCTCTTTGAACCCTAACCTTCAGAAGGACCTAAAGATATTTTCTTAACTTCTACAAGAATATTATATAGATGCTTTCAATTCAAAAGGTTCAAAAGTGAACTGAGCTTTCTTATGTTTCCCAAATCTTTCCCTCTCCTGTCTTTTAAAAAAAATATTTGTATTCACTGTCAAAGTTAAATATCTTACTTCCATGTAATATTTCTTGTGTTCTCAGTCCTCAAGTCCAGGCATCCATCATCCTGATACACAAATCTTTCAACTGGAAACCCTGTTGTGCAGTCAAAGCTGTGGTTCAAACCTATTGAGTTTGAGCAGTGCTACTGCAATGGTTTCAGAGGTGACATTTTCCCTAATGATAAACACCCCCACCCCACCTCCTACCTCCCTACCCCACTCCCATCCCCCATACCCACACACCGGCAGCACTCAGTAGCTGTTGGGTGAACTGAACACATTTTCCAAAATGGGAATTTTTCTTCCAGGAAAATATAATCAAACATTTTAAGGTTTTGGCTTCTATTACAATAGTTGGGTTTTGGCTACCATCTTGATCATGTTTAATAGAGTTTAACCAAAGTTTAAAATCTGTCTTGCCAATGAAATAAATTTTTATCAATGCTTGAGTTTATCCATCGTCCTATAATCTACCCAGCGAGAAAGGAATAATACTGTTGCTTTAAAAAAATTTAATTTATATCACTTAACTGTATGCTAGGAAACTTTCTGCCTAAGCTCTTTCAGTTTAATTTATAGTTGCGTATGAAATGAAAAAAATATGTTATTTAAGCATGCAAACTATGCTTTTGGAATGAGTAAGGAAGTGACATGTTGTCTTTATTGTATTAATATTAACATCACATTGGATATGTAAGTATATTTAGCCATGACAAAAGTATTCTCATATTTAACTACATTATTTATAAAAATAAAATCAAATTTTAAAATGCAAAAATTTAACATAGTATTTAAACTCTAAAAGACTTTTTATAGCTTAATTTGAAGGGAAAAATATTCATAGAAACAGAAATTTAGAAATTCATTTGCTAAATAAAAAATAAGTCAGGTAAAACAAATTAATTGAGAGTGCCTACTATGTAAAATAGCTGTCATGGAAGATGAATTCAATTCCCACCAAAAGGACATAAAAAGTTTTAAAAACACATGTAGAAGAATAAAATAAATGAAGAACAGCTTGAATTGTGGGGGAAAGGGAACAGAGTTTTATTAGGGAAAAATTTAAAAATTAACTCAAAGCAATTCAACAACTAAGATACATGCACTTTCTTGATTTCAAAGATTAAAAAATACTGAAAACTTATTTGGAAGATGAAATCAATTAGATCTGGATAAAAGCACTGTCACATAGTTGAAAATTAAATTATATAAAAAGCAGTTCTAGGGTAATAAGAGGACAGGATTTCATATATGAATGAGGAAAAATATAATAATGCAGTATATAATTCTCAGACAAAATCAAAGGTGAATAAAATAGAATACAATTCTGCTTACAGTGGAACACTTCATCTTTTCATTTTGTTTTATACAATTATTGCTATCTTTTATCTCCTCCACTGGGATGTACCTGGTTTTGCAGAGATTACTCCTTAACTGTTGCATCCACCCATAATACCTAGGTCAGTGCTCTACTGAGAAGAAACTGAGTAGTTTTTGCAAAAACAAATGAAAATATAAAAATAATCACATGCCTTGGCTGGAAGACTTAGAGATGAATGACATATTTTTAGCTCTATTAATGACCACAGCAAATTAGGAAGAATATTGGCTTTGCTGAAGTCGTACAAGAGATGGTCAAGGATTGCCTATCCTTTCTTTCAAATAGCAGTAAGTTTAAATTGATTTTTATCATTTGTGGTCCTCACTGATTCAGAGTAGCAATAATTTATACTATGTAAATAAAACATCTTGACCAAATTTTAATAACTAAGTAGGCAGGGAATGATGGGGGGGCAGTCATAAATAGGACTCAAATTGGACTGACCTCAAATACAATTGTGTTATTTCCTGCTTCCCCTTAAATGTACTGTATACTTTCCTACCTCAGGGCATTCACACTCCGTATTCCCACAATCCAGGATTCTCTTCCTCCAGATACCATCAATGCTCATTTTTTTTCTTGTTAAATCTTTCCTTCTAGAGTAACTTCTATAAAGTCTTGCCAGGACAATCTACATAAAACAAAGCATACTTTCCTCTTCTACTTCTTTTTATTCATTCCATCCTTATCTATTTTTATTCATGGGACTTTAATCCCTCTTTCTTCTTCTTCTTCGTTTTTTTCTATTTTCTCCTCCTTCTAGAACACAAACAAGATAAAGGAAATATTTTTGTTTTGTTTACTGCTAGTTCTCCAACTTCTGGAAATATTCCTGGCACATACTTTACACTTGCTAAATGATAAATTTCACCCAAATCACAGAACTGGTACTAGGTAGAATGGAAATTTGAACTCTAACTTCACAAATTTAACTTTACAAATTTAACTGCTAACTCATACTGTTTGTTGATAGTAAATAATACTTTAATAAGACACAGAGCTAGTAAAAGATTGTAATGATCTCTGACCAAAAAAAAAAGGATCTCATACAGTGATTGGGGAAAAAAGTTATCTTTTCATAAACAAAAATGAAGACTTCATACAAACAGATTATAAGAATGTATTCTTTTTTACTACTAGAAGCAGCTAACAATTTGTACAATGGAACATCTTGTATAGAAAAGTTTTCGGTCTAGAGACATTCAAAGGTTAACACTCTAGATTCCATTGTTTTGGATTCCATTGTTTTGGACAGATAAAAAAGAATGGCTGTAAACTTTTCCCAAAAGATATTTGCATTTATTCCCAGTTTAAGAGAGCAAATTTATTCATTCATTCAATTAAACTCGACAGAATAATACCTATCAACCTATACTAGCTAGGCACTGTTCTAAGGTGCTAGAGATAAAGGAGTTAACAAAACAGTCTTATATTCTTGAAGGGGGAAACAAACACTAAAATAATTGAGGAAAGTAGTAATAACATTACATAATGATTTAGATAATAAATGAACTTGGCAACTGTTAAATAATTCAGAGTAGACTTCTGTCGTGGATATAAAATTGTCAAATTCTGGAGCCAAATGAGCTAGGTTTAAAGGTTCCCCTGGCAAATAACTTAAGTTGCAATTTTATAAATTGAGAATAACAGAACTCATTTTAAATGGCTGATGTGAAGACTAAAACAAAATATTCATGAAAACACATCACAATGCAGAATATGTAATACTTAATCCAATTATGATGATGATGATGATATGCAAGGCAATCTAATTCTCCCATTGTATGGAGACTAAGTTAAATCCACGTGAAAATCTTGTGACTGTATATTTAATGGTGATATTTCTTTTTCTTATAATATTGTGTTTATTTATTATTATTATTTTTGGTACCGGGGATCGCACTCAGGTCCTTGTGCTTGAAAGGCAGGCGATGGAACCACTGAGGTAAATCTCCAGCCTATTTCTTTTTTTTTCTTGCTTTTTGAAAGCTAACAAGAACCATTCATTCATTCATTCAAAAATATTTTCTGAGAACTTAATGCATGCTAAGTATTTTCCTTGGTGCTGAGAAGACATCAGTTGACAAGACAAACGGTTTCTGCTTTGGTAAAAAGTTGTCGTGTTAGCACAAGTACAGGATACTGTGAGAGCGAACCCTTCAACAACAAACAGTGACATTAACGAAGCAGTATTTACCAAACGTTATTATGAATGGTCCCTCCCAGGGTGTTGTGCACTTACAGAAATCTCCACGAATGAACCTAGCAAAGCTTAAGAACAAGCTAGGACAAATTCCAGGAGCTGTTGGTGTTCTTTCATTCTATTTCCAAATTATACATCTCTATAGTCTAAGTGTCTTGAGGGCAGGAAACCCCAGAGCCTTCAGCGCTTCTCGGCCTTTTGGCTAAGAGCAAGTTTAAAAATGAACTCTAATTGAATAAGTAAGATCTTCACTGCTTCTACCCTAGCCCAGGATACCATCACCTCTTTCCCGCGCTAATGAAATAACTTTTAACTGGCACCTCAGCTTCTTCTTTTAAAGCACCACAGGTAGTCTAATCTTCAAATACCTCTCAGAGTCATCTTTTCCCAAACGTCTATTAGATGAGCTCACCATGTTGCTTAAGGACTTCAAAAGCACCTCCACCTCAACTCCGTGACTCACCAGCCTCTGTCCCTCACTTGGCTTTTGCCAAATCGAGTCTGAGGTGGCCTGAAATCCCTTCCGGGACTTCTGCAAAAAAAACGGTGCCTTCTCCTAACCTTCCAAAGTTAGGCAGCCTCCTTAGACAATCGTTATCCCATTATACTGTCTTCATTTGTTACTTGACCATTTACCATCATGTGAAACTATATTTCATTAACTGTTGATTTATCGTCTGCCACGTTCCCATTAAAATCTATAAATCCCGTGAGAAAACTCTTCCTCGTTTTCCCTAGAGTTAAAATACTACAGAACTGCTAAATGAACGAATGCCCTTGCCCGGTTTCTTGTTTTCCTTAAATTGCTGAGCACAACACTTAAGAGTAGTGATCCTAGCACGGCCCGGCCCCCATGCAGCGCCCAGAAGGTTTCCCGCCACTTCCGCCCCGCTTCCGCCCGCCGCTCTCGCGGTTCCGGCCGGCTTCCACCAGGGGGCACAATTTGCGGGCCCGGAACTCCTGTTTGGCCTCCCTTCCCGCACGGTGGCCACTCACCTGATCCTTTCCCTTGTTCCACCAGGGGGCGCGCCTCATAAAACTGGGCCTGGGCCTCCGCCGGCGCCGCCAACGTTCTCAACGCGGCCAGCACGGTCTCCGGAGATAAGTCAACCAGCCCCGCCCACACGGACTCTGTGTAGAAGTCCACTGTGTGTGCGTTGGAAATGGACAGGGCTTCCCTTAAGAACCGCAGCAGACCCTGCAACTTGGCACGCAGCGTGGGCAGGTCCTGGGTCACCGGGAGAGGGTAAAAAGCCGCCATGACGCTCACCCTCCGGGCTGTAGGTGGCGCAAACGTGGCGGGGCGGCGGCAGCTCAGTCGGAGGTACAACAGGCGCAAAAAGTAGAGCTCCGAGCCGAACTCTGGGTGCGCGATCGATTGCTTCAGCCTGGTGACGTATTTTGGGGTCGTCAATCTGCGCAGTTGGGGCGCGATGGCACCGGTGAGCCCGGCGGGGAGTTGGCGGAGTAAAGGTTTGGAGACGCGAGGCGAGGGTGTTCGTCAGGTCGGATTTAAGAATAAGAATGTGAAACGGAGGACTTGGAGGCCTAACCATCCACAGGCCTTCGTGGGAAGCGTTCGCGAGGGTAAGAGGACCATCATTTTAAATTATCAGGCCAAAGAAGCCCTAGGACGCGTGACCTGCCTAAGCTGTAAGGCTCTAGGCTCTAGGTCCGGCCGCGCTTGGGGCAGAAGAAGCTGTTACCAAGTCCTCGGAAGCCGTGGACTTTTTAGAGCTCCGGTTGGAAAGATGGGCAAGTGTTGTTCCCTTCGGACTTTAAACGCTTTGCCCACCGTAGCCCCCTTCTCGTTACTTTTCCTCCTTTATAACCGTGAACAGCGTGTGCGGGTACATTTGTGTGTGTCTTATTCATGTTCACGCGCACCTGTATTTATACGGTGACGTAAAAAGTCCCAAAGCCTGGTAATTAGAGATTCTCAGCAGAATTTAAGTTTCGTTTTCCATTCTTTACTTCCCTTTAGTATTTTGTTCTAAGGTTGTTTCAGGTCCCATTTCGAATATATGACTAAAAAGAGTTCAGTCTAGTGATAGTTGCCAGCTGTTCACAAAGTCTTACAGTAATTGAAGTATTTTCATAAATAAGTTTTGTAGTAAATTTCTCTGAGATAAGATATTGATAGTGTTTTTTCTATCAAGTATTTTTTGCAGACCCAAATTATGTTTTACATGATATAAGGAATTTGTTTTCATTTGAGACTCCAGTACAATCTTAATTGGTTAATTTTTATTTTTTGAGATTTTTACCTGGATGTGCATTGACTAAGTTTGTAAAGGACCAACTTGCTATTCAGTCTGTCATTTGAATTTGTTGCCTGATCCAATATTTAAAAGCAAAATAAAATACTTCTAACATTTGAATTGAGTCTGTGAAAAGTTTTATTTTAAGTTAGCTTTATATGTTTAATGTATTTATATTCTGTTACACTAATTTTGACTCATCCTTCAATGTAGGACAAGGCTTTGCATTTCGGAGAAAATTGAAGATTCAGCAGAATTACAAGAAATTGCTATGGAAGGAAAAGAAGGCTGGAACAGCACAGGAATCCCAATTCACAGATCAGTACCCAGATCACTTGAAACATCTCTATTTAGCTGAAGAGGAAAGACTCAGGAAGCAGCAACAAAAAAAAAAACGGCCTTTGGCAGAAGAAAAAGTCAACCCCCTTTTGCCTGAAGAGCAGTGTAGAGTTGACCATGCTTTGTCTGAAGACCAGTCACATCAGCCTCAGCTAGAAGAGCAACGTAGCAAGACAGTAAAGTATGTGCTTTCTTCTGTGGTCTACTTCAAATATGTAGTGTTTTATCAAAGACATTATAGCACAATTTGTGTAGGGATTGGAATTTTCCTTATTTAACACATTTTAGAAGTTCCAATATATTTAAGTGTGCACATTTTTATGGGATCCTTTTAAATTATGGGATCCACTAAATTAAGTCAGTTTAATATAACTGAAGAAATAATATAAGGAGAGTTAAAATCTGAATTTTAGACTTGTCTGAAGTACATATAAGTTGGAGTGTTGCTAACTTCTAACATTAATATTTTCTAAAAATAATTTTTGAGAAGTTTTAATAGAGTATGTCAACAGGTTGAACTGTAGATCCAGACATGTTGGTGTCCCAATGTTTTAAAATAAGAAGGATAAGTATGTAATTGAGAGCCACGGTACTCCACAGCTCCTGAAAGGATCATTCACTCAGGTAAATGGTTCCTGAAATATATCATGACATTTTGATGAATGAGTTAATTCATATCAATAATTTAAAAAGATGAGTAATACATGATAAGTGCTTCTGAGTGTTACTATTAATCCTCACATCACAGAATAGGATTTTCTGCAGAGGATAAGAAATGGATTGGAGTTTAAAAGTAACAAAACATTGCACAGCTCCATATATCCAGCTTACAAAACCAAACAACTTAGTTTTATAAGTGCTAACGTACAAAAATATTTCTGTGCACATATCAAATAAAAACGTGACTTGCAGAGAATTAGTTGGGACCATAATTTTCAACTTCACTGAAATTTTGCTTTTTAAAGTTGTGAGTTATTTGTGCTCAAAATAACAGGAAATAGAACCACAGAAAAACGTATAGTTTGGGATAAAGGCAGAGACAATAAAAGTTCATTATTTTTAATAGTCTTATTTAATAGTATATACTGCTCAGGGAAAAGATAAACTTGAGAAATGTGCATTTGAGTCATTCTCAGTGATTGAAAGGAGATGGGTTAAGTCAGAAGACGGAAAATAAATATATTTTTACAAAATTTTTATTTTGAGATGAAAATGGAAAAATTGTCATTGAAGAAGTGAAATTGGGGGAATGTAGTGACATCTAACTCAGCATAGGAAAGATGTGAGAGTAGGGATTGTTCAGCTGTTAAATATAAGTTGAAAAAAAACATGAGAGTAGATAGGCAGTCATTAGTGACTTTGGAGAGATTTTTAATGGTTAACTCAGCTTGAAGGGAAAGTGACAATTTTGTACTATTCTTTCTGGAAACGTGACTATGAAAAATTAAAGAACAAGATTAACAGTTAAAAAAAGGATATAGAATCTGGTAATGCTTTGTTTAATGAGGGAGGGAGCTATGGAATATGTTACATTGTAGTTATGACCTGAGGATAGTGAAACCTTGAGAGACAAGGAAAGGAGCATTATTAGTTCAGGTATCTTGAGGAAATAAGTGAAACCCTAAGTGATTCTGCCTTAGCAGAAGGAAGACATAAAGAGATGAACACTTTTAAGAAAGAGTCCTTCTGAATGAAGATTAGGTCCAACACATGGAAGTGATTCATGGCTCATGACTAACTAGATGAAATAGAACAGAGAAAGGTGTTCAAAGAACTCAAAGTTTATACCCACAGCTTCCGTAATATCTTTCAGTTTAATATTTTTAAAATTCTTTAACATTTTAGGACCTTTCAAAGCCTGTTATATTTTCCCTGATTAAATATTCCTTCAGAATCTCCATTTACCATACATTTAGTTGATCTGTAATCCTAAAAAATTCAACTGTTTTTAATACTTTATGTGAACATTTCACTAATAAAGATTATAGTTTCCTCGTCTCCTTCCCTTAATTTGCATTAGTGAGATTTTACAGTACTATATTTGACCCCACAATGCTTCAGAATTTTGACTCATTTCTAACATTTGTGATTTATTTTTCTTAATGTATCTTAATAAAGTTCCACGAGTGTTCCAAAGAAAAAGAAAACATCCAATCAGAAAGCACAAGAAGAATATGAGCAGATACAAGCTAAGCGTGCTGCTAAGAAACAAGTAGGTTCTACTTTTAAAATATTTGGGTGCATTTTACTTTTTTATCTTGAATGTATATACAAAATGTGCTCCTTGGTGTTGGGTGATAGTGGTCTCTTGAATGAATGATAACTAAGCAGAGTTGGAGATTTGTATCATTCTAGTTTCTTAATTTTTATCTCATCTCTGTTACCCATAGGTCAAGAATAGGATTTAAAAGCTATTACTCATTAGTAGTAGAATTACTTTGAAGCAAGTAAAAGCCAGAGGGGGAGATGTTAGAATAAAATATTAAAGAGTTGGTCTTGCCAACAAAAAACCAACTAGTTTAACTTAGTAGAAAGGTGCCACTGTATTACTGAGAACAGAGTTAACACATTTTCCAAACAAATAAAACAAAATTTTCATCTTGTAGAACCTGTGGATAGTTCTTTATATTAACATTTCATTTACCTATCACTTATCAATCACAAACTCCCCCTATAGTTTTCTTTATGTTTATACTTTAGAATATGTGTACTTGAGAAAACTAGAGTTTACCATAACATCTAAAATTAAGATTGTTCTTAGTCCGATGGCAGACTAAGATGAAACAAACATTTCTCCATGAAAATGCTAGTCTTTGTTTCATAGCTTTTTACATCATAACTTTCTTTAAATATCTTTTATATTGTCCATCAGTGTATCAAATGAAGGGCCATAGGGACCATTATTCTATTAACATTTAGTAGCCTTTTAAAGTTTCTGTTAAAGAGTAGTAGGACTTTGTAATCATGAAAATTAAGTTTCTTAAAACTTGCAGCTTTTAAATATCAACATAAAAGCCAACACCATTTCACATGAGAAATCAAAACTTAAAGAGTGTTAATACAGACCCAAAATTTATGTAAAAATATTTTTAAAAAATTATTTTATTTAGAGAAATTTCATAAGAATAAACTGCTTTGTATATGTGAATTTACAAATAAGTTTTTGATCTTTATAAGTTTATTAAGATAAATGAAATACTGCACCATAAGAATATAATTTTAAGTAATAGAGAATATCACGATGGGGACTTAAAAATTGTGGATATGAGACCTAGCCATACCATTTATTGATGATCTTGAGCAAATTCCTTTCAATACCACTGAGCTCAGCACCTCCTCTGTAAGGTGACCATAATCAACTAGCATGAAAAGGTTTTAAAGAATACAATATGTTGTGATTTTACATATGGTTCAAGTAACGACTTTTTTTTTTTGGTATGGGGATTGAACTCAGGAACTTGTGCCTTGTGGGGCAGGATGCAGAATCACTAAGCTAAATCCCTGGCCCCCAAGTGAAAACATTTTAAAATTATAAAGTAAATAGTTTATATTTGTTTAGTGTTGTTTGGGGGCTACATTTGTTGCACAAGGAATCAAGAACAGCATCTTTTACATTACATAAGAACTTTTTTGACTTTTTAGTTTAGTAAGAATAATGTAATACATTATGCATAATGGCTTTTCCATACTATTTATACCTTTGAATTCTATTTGTACTCAAAGCTGAATATCTTAGATCAAATGATTATGATATATTTTGAATGGTCAAAATCCATAGCATCTAACAGAAAATTTTGCACATATATAGTAAATAGTCAATAAATGTTTTTAGTGTAGACTAGTTAACCTCTAAAAATCCTCCCAAAGTCTTAGTGGATTTAATTAAACAATGAAATTATTATATAAGTAAATGCATTCTGTCTTCTTTGATCTAATGTTATTTGCATATAAATGCATAAAATTATATAATTTATATTCATTGTTATAGAAAGTATAGTTATGGTCTGAGGTAAATGGAACATTGCTTCAGATTTGGGAAATGACTCATATTTTGTAAAAAGACCTTAGAAAGTTTGAAGGTGATAGTTGTGCAAAACAATTTCTGAAATGAATCTGATTGATTTACATATATTAATTTCAGGAATTTGAGAAGAGAAAACAAGAGAGAGAAGAAGCTCAAAGGCTCTACAAAAAGAAAAAAATGGAAGTGTTCAAAATATTGAGCAAAAGGACTAAAAAGGGCCAACCAAACTTGAATTTACAAATGGAGTATCTTCTTAAAAAAATACAAGAAAAAAGCTGAATCAGACATTTTGTCCTTTAGGGTAAAAATACTCACCGAATGTCTATTGGATTCTTATGTATAGGAAATTCATAGTCCCTGAAAATGAACCAAATTTGGCAACATAACATAAACTGCTAAGATGTGCAAATACAATTTTTTCTTGTAAAAGAAAAATTTTAATATGTATAGTTGATGTAATATGGCTGGTTTTACATTTATTTGCCTCGAGGGAGATTGGGTTGAACTTAAAAATCTATTTGGGAGAGAGGCTCAGGCATACTTTTGTAATGTATAAAATTTATATGAAATAAAATTCATTTAAAATAAGAGGGTGGAGTTTTCAATGATTATGAGTAATTTATGTAAATAGGCTTGGGAATACCTGGGCTATTGACTACTAGTATTTACATATATATTTAAAAAAATTTTTTTAGATGGAATCTCATGTTGCCCATGCTGGCTTGTATCACTTTGAGCTTTAAGGATTCTGCCTTTTCAAGTAGCTGTGTCTGCCTAAAGGCACGTGCTACCACATCTAGCCTCAGTGTACAGCTCTTGATTGAGATTCTCATACTGTAAATATAGAAATAGGCTTTACTGACGTAGGTTAAGAGAAGGATAGACACAGCAAAGTCTATGGAGAATGTAACAAGTAGAAGTTTTAGCTTCATGAATCCAGTACATCAAGAAATAAAAAACAAAGCGTGGTATACATACTTAAAGGCTTTGGAGTAGCCAGAAGCTAGTTTCAGGCTTCAGACTTAAATGTGTACACGGGGAGCTTTGATCTTGGGAGTTTATGGATGCTCATATTGGATCCTTATCTGTAAGTGTTCAGTAGGCTTTTAATTGCTGCAGTTTGGGCAAAAGGCTTGTAGCCTTAAAGCACATGAAGTTTTGATCTGAAATTTGGAGTAGCTTTGTCTACAGGAAAATAGTTACTTCTACAAAAGCAGAGTGCAGTACTGAGCTTTAAGGAGCAGTGTGCAGACTTCAACAAGGTTATGGGGCTAGCGTGGTCATGACGAGCAAAGGCACAAAATGTAGGTGTGTGTTAGAGCACACCCAAATGCTCTTCAGTGGCCTCGAGATGTCAAGGTGAGGCTTAGCAAGCTACACTGGCTTCGCTATGATCAAGAAAGGAACTGGCATGGGTGGGCAGCCTCAGCTGCAGGCTGCTGTGGAGTGACCTTGAGCTGTATTAAATATGCATGTATGAACAGCAGGGGCCTCAGATGCTGCTTAGACAAAACAGTTTCATTTGTGGCAAAGATTTAATGACAAAATATTTTTAGATAGTGCTAAATGTTAACAATTATATCAGTATTTGCTACTTTTAATGTTCAACACAGATGCCTTCTAGGCAATATGAAGTTCTAGAGAAGCTTAAGGTCTAAATTGTTCATGCCAGTCACTGAATTGCAGTGCTAAAGATAAAGTTTGGAATATAAAGAGATTTTGAATATTCTAATGGGAAAGTTCAGAATGAAATCAAAGATGATTGGTAGGATACCACTGCAAATCCTGTACTTCACAAAATGGTATCAGTCTCAAATACCACCATCTGTGGGAGAAGGTACAGTGCACAATACACGGTGATAACTTTCTGCTGACAAATGTCTTGCAGCTGAAATGTGCAGGTGATGTGAATAGCACTCTAGTCAAGCTAAAGTCAGCGCTGTCTTACAGATCTGTGTGTTTTTACAGTTTTTGCTTCATGTTATATTTGGCAATAGCAACTACTGGGTTCCAGGAGTACGAGGCAAGTGTAATTACCTTAGGTGCTTTATTGACCCTCGGGGCTTTTTAAAAATCAAGGCACATCATACACAATGTTGAATTCATTTGACTTTCGAGAAGCTCAGTCATACCCATTGTTAAGAAAGACACGTAGGCTTTAGCTGCTGAAGGAATCTACCAAGGAGTAGGAACACTTCTGACTGAAATAAACGGGAGAACTTTAATTTTGATGAACTCTTAACCTTATAATAAGGGATTTGATTCTGAGATGTGATTTTTTTTCTTTTTTTGGTATTTGGACATTAATTTAAAAAGTAATTTAATATATAGACTTTATTTTTCCCCAGGTGTTTGATAAGGGAAAAGATATTGAAATGGGGAACATCAATATTTTGCTGGCATTTTTTCTGGATTCTCTTTATTTAGATGATTCCTTTTGAGAATATGTAATTGAAACATTCATGGAGATAAGTCCTATGGCAGAAATGGGCACCTCATGGGCCTGGTAATCCTGAGTTTCACAAACAGGTTTATTGAGGTATAATTGATTAAACATAATTAAAATTTAGAATTTGGTGAGGTTTGAAACATACGAAATTGTGGCAGCAAGAATTGGTAAGTGACATGCACAGAGGTGCAGAATGGAAGTAAAATAAAAGGTTTATTTTCTTGACAAAAGGCCAATTGTGCTAAAGCAGTACCAGTGATTGAGCACCCCCACCAATGGGTTATAGCTCCTTTTATAGGGTTTCACAGCCATGACCTCATTCAGTGGTTACATTTCATCCTCTTAGTTCACATTACCAATATACAAACCACCCTCACAAGACAATTAACTTTAACCCAGATGTAGCAATTGTTTGTAGATAGAGAGTTTATCTTTAAGATTAATCTAGCTATCCTAGCTCACTAGAAAGGGTTCTTTTCATCTTGACACTTACAATTATGTGGTTTACAAAACTTCTATTAGCTCAGGATGAGGCCAGATATCCCATTCTATGGTTAATGCCTCGGGTGTCTGTTAATTTTGAACTAAACAAAGCAGACCTTTGTTGGAGAGAGCAGAAGTCCGTCTACATTTTCCTGACATTTTATAGGTTTTGGTTATTTATGAAAGTTCTCTCTATCACTGTCACCTCCAGAATTATCCTCCTGGCCCTTGGTAATCCACCCTCCCAGTGGTTCCCCAAACTGATGCCAAGAAAGATCTTTCTGAAACTCTAGTTTGCATTTTCAAAAATGTTATATAATAATCACACACTGTTCAATTTTTGTCTAGCTTTTTAGACACTACTTACTTGGAAATTTATTGATATTATTGCATTTATCAGTAGTTTGTTCCTTTTATTGCCTAGTGTTCTATTGTATGCATACACTGTTATGGCTTGTGTCTAGGTGTCTCCCCAAGCCTCATGTAGCCATAAGTGGGCTTTTCAGAGGTGGCTGGATCTAAGAGTGTGTGATGCTGGGATCAAGGGTGTGTGGTTACTAAATGAGTCTACTGATTAGTTTGGCTTAGTTCTGGGTAGCATTAAGGGTACCTTGTATATGAGCGTGACCTGAGGGCAGGTAGCTTGGATAAAATGTAAGGGGCAGAGGTCTCGTGTCACTTATTGCTTGCTTCTGCCTGCCTGCTCTGTGAAGCCCCTCTGCCATACCAACCTGCCTAACTTACCTAAAATAAATCTTTCCTCCTTTAATTTTGGATGCTGGGTATTTTGTCTCAGCAATGAAATAAATAACTAAAATATATAGCATGACTTGTTTGCCTACCTATTGATTAACATGAGGTTTGTTCCCAATTTTTTTCCTTTACAAATAAAGTTACTATAAACATTAGTGTGTTTGTTTCTAAGCTTTATATGAGCATATGCTTTGCTTTTTTAAAAAAAAATTTTTGTATATTCCTAGGAGTGTAATGATTGAATCACATGGTAGGAGAATAAGACTTTTTAGGGAATGCGACATCTGTGAAAAGGTTGGGCATTTGCTCTACTGAAATTGGGAAATGAGTATATGAAGTCAAGTAAGGAAGGTAATAATTATACCCATTGAAGGATCCTAATTATGTTGTCTGTATTATATCTATTTTCAGAGAAGATCTTTCAATCCCTAGTGGATACACACATGCTTTATTTTTTACCTTAAATCTCATCACTTTTTTCCAATATGCTCTTTAGAGTACCAGTAAAGCCATTAAAATGGAGTATGTCTTCAACAAACATTGATAACCTATAGTCCTACCACTTTTGCAACTTGTGCTGCTATCAGTTGTTCCCACTAACTTTTAATTGAGACTTACTCTGTGATGACATTATGAAATTGTTTACCAGAAAGGAATACATAAGAAAACCTTAGTTATAACAGTTCTCTTGTATGTTCTGGCCTCTCTTGATGCACTATTAAATCAGATAGTTTATTTCTACTTAGGTAGCTAAACATTCTATAGGCATGAAAATACTATTTAGAAATGACTTACTAAAGTTCAAATGAATCCTTGTAACACCCTCTGGTATCTCAATATCTGCTCAAAAACCTCAGACCCAATTAAGTCTTTACTAGAATATCTGTGGCCACTATAGTTCTTGCAGTAGTCTCGTATACCCATTTACAAACCCTACGCCAAAAGCCAATTCTTATGTTCAACAACCCAAGAATAAGCAACAGAACTGTAATTCCTAGATTCCTAATAGAGTCTCGTGAAGTTGTTTTGTCTTCCTTTGGCTGAAGTTCATATTTTATAGTGGTAGCTTTAGTTGTAGCTTTGTTTAATAAACATGTAAAGACAGTTGACATTTTTTTGCCATTTTTCCATGAAAACTAATGGCATACATGGATGGTTACACATGTATGGGTTTTATGGACTCTCCATTGTTCTTTCATTCTAAATTTAAGCATAAGGGTTTTATTTTTCCTTGAGTAAATGTCATATAACATATAAATGACTTGTGAAAGTTTCATCTAAATAGGTGTTGGGAAGACTTTCCATAACTTTTTTGTTTGTTTGTTTGTTTTTGTACCGGGGATCGAACTCGGGTCCTTGTGCTTGCGAGGACCATAACTTTTTTCAAGAGTAGGTGAAAAGAGGCACAAGGAATCTAGAAAAAAGTCATGATATTGTGAAGAACTGAAATTATTTGGGTTGTAATCTGTCTGCACATGGGTATTGGGTATTTTTTGACCTGTACAAAAGACAGTTCTCTCTTTCCAAAGCAATATCCTTAAAGACATAGGAAAGATTTTTAAGATTGACTGGTCATTGCAACCAATATGTGCCTATTCAAAAATAGTTCAGTGCTCTCACGAATTTTCTAAGGAAATTCCTGAACTTTTCCTTTGAAATGAAAACACAAAAGAAGTTTTCAGCTCTTCAAATTTTTCTTTTCAGTAGTGTACTAATTTGGCTATCCTTAACCATGTCAAAGTCTACTCTGCTGTGTTTGAGAAAAGAAAAATTCCGCATTGTGGATATTAACTCATCAGAGGTTGCTACTGCGTCTATTAGGATATTGCTTGATTTGGCAATGAAGGCCTACTTGTGACATCTGCAAGAGGTGGAAACAGCTGCCCAGCTGGATGAAACTTCTGTCAATACTGTTTGCTCTCACTGC